ACTATGCGTCCTATTTCCCAAGCCTACAAGTTTGAAACTAAAGAAAGGAACCAATCTTTAAAAAGAAATAAAGCACGTATCAGATTCAAATTCTTAACGAAGACTGAACTAAAGACGATGAAAAATTGATTTTTTTTCTGCTTTTATAGATGGGGTCGTAAACGAACATTGCTATTTTCCATGGTGCCGTTTATAATTGGGTGGACACTCGTTGCCACTGCACATCACATCGCACAGCTTTATGTCGCTAGATTTATATTTGGATTAAATATAGCTATCACGTTTACAATCCTTCCTATGTATTGCGGCGAAATCGCTGAGGTATTTTGAATGAGTGTACAAACATTTCTACGCATAGTATTTAAGGTATCGTGTTTTTTTGTGTAAAATATGTCGATTATTTAGTACTTAATTTAATGTGTATAAATTGTATCGTTTAATCAATTTGTTCATAAATTTTTTTGCTGGGTTTTCAAACGATTTAAAAAAGATTTAAAGACAGTCTTTGTTTGTTGAGAAATATTAAAATAATTATATTGTTCGTTATATAATAACGAACTAACAGATGATATATGACTATTGTTATATTTTTTCAGACATCTATCAGGGGAGCGTTAGGCTCTTTTCTCCCGCTCTTTGAAACGATCGGTATTCTATATTCCTATTCTATTGGGCCATTCGTTAGCTACGTAGTCTTGTGGATCCTATGTGCCATCCTGCCGGTGATTTTTTTCGTCTGCTTTATAATGATGCCAGAATCTCCGTACTACCTTCTCAGTCAAGGTCTCAGAGATGAGGCAATCGCATCTCTAGCGAAGCTCCGAAGTAAACCCAAAGCAGCTGTCGAGAAAGAGGCCGATGAAATACAGGTAAGTCAGCAAAGTAATAATTAATCAATATAATTTTCTCTTATAAAACCTACCGCTTAAATTTCTTAGTAGTAAGAATAAATATATTTTGTGGTTTGGCAATAAGAGCCAAGCGCAGTTGTTCTTTCACAATCTTTATCATTACAATTATATATAAGGACTCGCGTACGTTTCGACTCTTTCTTCGGGTCATCTTTGTTAAGAAATTCTAGTTGTTGCAATATTTAGTTTTCTGAAAAACTGTCCGGAAAATATGTGATCGGTATAAACTATTCTAATAAATTTCTAACTGCAACGTGTCCGTTTATAGTGTCGTAAATTTCTCGAGCAACAAGGTAATTGCTAATGTTACCTGAACTGTTACGAACATGTAACGATCGTTGATAAACACATCCGAGTACATATTGTCCGTCAGATCACGTTAGACAAACGAGGTCGCGGCTAAGACCGTTCCTTGATCTTAAACAACAATGAGGGATATTTATAATTGACGTACAGAGTCTCGCAGAACTGCAGGTTGTACGCGACTATATATTACACGAGAAAAAATAGCTATAGCTTCAGCGTTGGAACAGTCACAAAATAAAATATAATTGCAAAAGAAATTAACATTGAATACAATTTTGAGGAATTAAAAGATTCGATTATAAATGGACAGCAAATTTGCTTCACTGTTAATTGAAAGTTTGTTTCTTAATAATAATATGGTCGTTTTATTATCCTATTTATTTCATAATATTTTAGGCAAATTGTTACGCACTCCAATTTTTATATTTATTGCTTAATAAATTTGTCTCGCTCTTGATTTTTCAGGTGATACTTGACGAGGCTTTCAAGAATCAAGCCAGTTTCTCGGAACTGTTCAAAGTAAAAGCGAACTTCAAGGCGTTGATCTACACATGTCTCATGGTCTCCTTCCAACAATTTACCGGTATCACTGTGGTGGAGTACTATTTGCAAGATATCTTTATAGCTGCCGGAGGTCTCGTTTCAATGGAGATAGCGCCGATTGTCATTGGAGTCGTGCGGGTGTTAGCGTCAACAGTGACACCCATGGTTGTCGACAGGTCAGGTAGAAAGATACTGCTCGTTTTCTCCGGCATCGGAGAGACAATCAGTTTGGTGAGTAATTGCCTCTGTTTTTAGATTTGAAATTAATCAACAATGAATTAAAATAATTACACGCATGAAAAAAAAAAAATTAATTTGATTTTAATCTGGGATGTAATTTAACTTAATTATGAGAACCTCGTTATGTTATATCTTATTTTGTTATTGATACTGAGTACATATTACCTCATTGACATATTGCCTAATTAACAGTAGAAATAAATTATAATAGCGTTAAAATTGTGCTTTAAATATAGGCATAACAACTGATATTATTCAATTTAGAAGAAATATACAAGAGAGAATATCTTATATAATGAAACATCAGAAATATGTTACTATAGAAAGTATACGCTTGATCCATCATATCGAGCCTTGTATTTCGAAGAAAACAATTGCAATTATTTATAAAACATCGCATAACCGATAGAGTTAATATTAATTAAACAATGTACACTTAGTTTTAAAGCACAATAGTTTGAAATGAATTAATACATGACTTAGTGTTTAATATATCTTGCATTGGAACTTTTATGAAATTTTCGTATTATTTTTTGTTTGATAAACAGCGAATTGATTCAGAAATTAATAGAGTGTGTAATAAACACAACGATTTCCTTTTTGTTTTATGGAATGAGTTGCAATTTTGTCGCCTTGCGACAGAATGATGAATCTGAGCAGTTTGTTAGAGTGGACATGGACATGAGTTGTCGGTTTTAAAACCTCAAAGAATTTATATTAAAATTATTAAAATTATAAAAATATATTTTATTTCAAGATTATTAATTAAACGCGTTATCTATAAAATTGCGTTTAATTAATAAGCACAAACTGCTATTAAATTTGAGATCAAATACTTAATATTAATAAAAAAAATTGTAATTTTTATTAGATTCTTTATTTGATTGAACAGAGGCTTATTTTGCAAGCATCGTAATTATGGCGTTAATGAGATAAATTATAGAAGAATTAAATTTTGTAATGTATATTAATCTAACACTGATAGTCATATCCTATAAATATTTTTTGACGATAACTTTTACATATTTAGCGTGAATTTTCGCGTGCCGATTATTTCTCATATTCACTGATTGCATGCTGATCGTTAAATGCATTTTCTGGTAATGCGTTTACGATCGGCATTCATAATTATACTTGCTACCAATGCCGCAAATTACGGCATTTAATGACTCCTTCTTTTATCACTCATCTTACCTTCGACGAAATCATTTTCGGCGCAAACGACTTAATTACCTGACAAAGAGGATCGAGTCACGATTCTTTCTGTAAATCGGATAAAGATAAACGCGCGACACGGTAAAGTCCTCATGTTCGATAATGTCTGCCTGATGTAGGAAATGTAACAGCGAATCACGCTGATGTACATTGCAATGCGAGACGAGGAAGGTAGAGCATCATTATACATACGGGTCATTAAGTCATTATTACGTATTCCGATGGAATGCGATGGAATACATCAGACTGTGCGTGCACGATGACATAATTTGTGCGCGACAGAAGGCAGACGCGCGTATGATAACACAGAAACGAGTTGAAAAAATTCTTTCTTTTAGAATCTTTTGAAACCCGAGTTGTTTTTTTCGTTGTTATTAGGTACTTTGAAAGATATCTCTGTACTCTGGGAGTTTAACAATTGTAAGAAACTTCGGAAAATTTCCATAACAATGTGTCATCATAATAGATCATAATAATTCCAGCACCGAACATGTTCAATAGCACTGAATTTCTTTGTTATGCAAATTTTGACTTTAAGAGTGCAAAAATCTTTTATTACGAGCTTGTCGTGTAAACAGGCATTTATTTTGCAGTTTGCCCTGGGCTTATATTTCTACCTGAAGGAAGTACAGCACGCGGACGACGTGGTAGAACAGATATCCTGGTTGCCGGTGGTCTCACTCATCATCTTTATGATCACATTCAGCATAGGCTGGGATGCAATTCCATGGGCAATGACGGGCGAGATGTTTGCCTCGAACGTAAAGGCTAGTGCTTCCAGTATAACGGTTTTCGTCTGCTGGTTTTTGGCCTTTGTCACCACCAAGTTCTCTATCAACCTCGATAAGGCATTCCATGGCATGTACGCGACCTTTTGGATGTTCGCAGGATTATCTTTCCTTAGTATCTTTTTCACGGTATTATTCTTGCCCGAAACGAAAGGCAAGACACTTCAGCAAATCCAGGACGAACTCAATGGAGTGACATGTCGAGAAAGGAACGAAAACGTGAAGATGGAAAATTCGCGTCCGATTATCCTGACGAATGGTGTACGCATAAACACCTGATAAATTCGCAAAACATTAAAAAAAAATTTTATATTTATAAAACATATGTGGCATAAAGTTGTATAACTTATTTAGATATTTGATGTTATTTACTGCGGAGAAGAATGAAGCAGAGTATTAGAAATGCGGGTTATATATATACACACCTATATCCCATTGCCAATTTTATAGAGATATAATATAACTCTTTAATAAGTAAAAAAGGAATATATATCCTTGCGCTTGGACCACCGTTTAATCTCCTGTTACTAGTATTGCTTGAATCATAAAGAAAAACGGAAAACGGATCAATTAACAAACGATTGTTCGACAATATAAATGAATTGATCAATAAATGTTCAGGAAATTTAAAGGGAGTAAAACGGGGATTCTCTACCTTATCTTTACTCATATATCATATGTACGCGGAGACAATTTTGTTATTTTTTACATAAAACCAAAAATATTTTATTATCTTTCAAATATACCTTAACATAACGCCTAAAACGGCTTGCAGTAATTGTATGTTTATATAATGTAAGTCATATACGTATATTTATAAATACGCTCGCGTTAATGATACTTCGCTACGTATCGCTGGCAATTTTGGTAGCGCTGCAATTTGCAAATTGGGAACTTGTTTTCAAGCGCTTCACCGCCTGTCCCGACTCTTTGATGAAAAATCAACAAACCTTTATTTTCGCCCGTCTGCAAAATAATTCCTTATTTTTCTATAAAACAGAAATAAGATAATTATTAATTAATTTCATCGCTTTATGGCTGCTATTTTATCGTCATTATTGCCTCATTTATTACAAAGCTGATTAAGTTACTATCTTATCTATTATTTTAAAGTAAATTGGTAGAACTCTTTTCCCTTTGCAAATTTCATGGTCAAAATCACGAATTAGGTTTAATCCAGCATTTTAATGAGATCCTGAAAGTAAAATTCGGAAATAAATTCTATCCGTCTATCCTTCTGTTTTTCTATAACTCGACCTGCTTCTCTCGGTCGAGGGCAGCCCTTTCGATGGGGGAGCTTCTTCGAGGGGGACACTGTTCTGCGGCGACGTCTCGCCACCTTGACCACGGCGCCTCGTTTCAGGGTCTAGGTCTCGAGACGTCGGTCGTTGCATCCCTCACCATTGCATCGCAGCGATAGCGATTGAGATCGCGCTTTGCGATGTGCGGCAGAAATGAGTGGGAGAAAGACATGGAGACGATTAAAGATAGAGAATATGATCTCCACTCGAGACACATACGCAATAGGACCACCGGCCATCGCTGTCCCGAAGTGATGACGGAGAAAGGTTCTAAACTCCCTCAGTTCTTGGCTGCTGTGGCGGGTAAGTCAGCGTCTGTCAATAAAGGTTTGCATCCTCGAGGGGAAGGAATCCAATTAATCCATTATCAATACGCTGTTATCTTAAACTCATTTAAGTCTACTTTTCGTGTATTTCTTCAAAACAATTTCACTTTAATCCGAAAATTTTTATTTGTTTTTTTAATTTTTTATTACTTAAGAACTGTGTATATTAAAAGTCCTCATTTGTACTAGAAGTTTTGATAGCGCAACTTTAATTATTTCATATTCAAATTTTTATTTTTGAAAAAAAAATTATTAGACTTATAAATTTTGCTATAATTACACGTAGATTTATAACGTAATCTACAGTTGCAAGATAAATCTTATCGTGGTTGGTTAAATCGATAAGACAAATGATGAATCTTTCGGTATGTGCGTGATATAATCGATGAATGATTTAATTACAGAAAAAAAATTATCAATTAAAAAATTTTTTACGATCAAAAATGCACGTGACATCCGTGTTCTTTCCCTATTCATATTATCTCGTGGCATATTCATGTTTCACATTGCAAAGCGACGATTCCGGGTGCACATCTCTATGGATCCTGTATATATTCGCAATAATACTTGGCATGGATTAATTGTGTAAACGACAGATAATCACTATCACCTCGTGTCAGACGCTATCAATGAGAAAGTTAGTAATTTACGAAAGTAACTCAGTAAGTCAGTAACTCGACAATCACGTATTATCGCGCGTGCAACGACAGAGAAAATAGTCTCACTGCTGTAGTGATACTTCCACGCAATGAGATTTCTATCTAGTCCAGTAATCTTAGGATTTCACTTCGGAAAAATTTCAAGTGAGGACTCACTTTGAATTTGTCCGAAGATTGATCGAATTTTTGCCTAAAGTTACTGGACTAATCTGTGTTATATCTTACTTGCGTATCAAGAAGAATCGTCGACGTTGAGTGCGCAGCCTGCGCAGGCAAATTGATGATTGCGCAGGCAAATTGATGATTGCGCACTTTTCAAAGAGGATTGTTACGTCTTATAGGACATCTAAAGGACATCTTATAATTCTTGAAGTTACCTTATAAAATTGTCTTTATAACGTTTTTAAGACGTCCTGATTTATGATTTCTTTAGAACATTGTTTTAGTCGTATTCTACACATGCGTGTTGTCTCGGTTGTTGTAGATTATAATTTGGAAGTTCCATGCCAAATCGCTTTTGAGGAACAAAAAATGTTATATTTGGTTTGTGTTGGATGAGATAATATCAACTAAAATCGAGTGCTGATACCTGGTCTTTAGAGCGGACCACATCAAATAAACATATACAATGATTAAGCAGAGTTGAGTTGATTTAATCATAAGTGCGCAAGCAAGAAAACATTACCAATTTGATATGTCTACTAGAATTCCGTTAAAGACATTGGAATTATTTTTATTGGTATTACCCGGTTATTCTACAAACACATTATTAAGCGCATTTATACTTTTTACCTATTAAGTAAGTACTTATTAGATTATTAGAATGTTAACATTTATATTCGCATTATCATATAATTATGTGCTGTTCACTGCCGGTAAGATCTCCAACAGTTCGAGGCAGATAGATATCTCTTAAGAGTTTCCTTTCTGATGAAACAAAAATCCAGCTTTAATAATTAAACGTTTAAATAATAGCACGTTGATTAAATACGAGAAGAATACTCCAACAATTATTTATCGTGGTATTTTCCATTTGTATATCCTGGAATTTTTGTACAATCATAGCTAGTCTATCTCTCCTCGCGTCTGGTGCGGCTCAGGGGTGGCCTAGTCCGGTTATCCCTAAATTGGGAAAGGATGGTGGACCTTTGGGGTCACCGATCAGCAGCGAGCAGAGTTCCTGGATAGTATCTCTGATGCCCATTGGTGCAACCATTGGCAGCTTTGGGGCGGGATACCTCGGAGACAGGTATGGCTATATGTATATAAATAAACCGTTCAATTGCACGCACGAATAATTTTGCAATATATCGATTTAACTATCCTATTTCTCAAGCCTACAAGCTTGAAATTAAAGAAAGGAATCAATTTTTATAAAGAAATGAAGCACGTATCATATTCAAATATTTGACGAAAGCAACTGAACTGAAGACAATAAAAATTAATTTTCTCTGTTTCTATATAGATGGGGCCGTAAACGAGCATTGTTATCTTCTCTGGTGCCGTTTATAATTGGATGGACACTCGTCATTACTGCAGGGCACGTTGCACAGCTTTATGTCGCTCGATTTATACTTGGATTGGCTTTATCTATCACGTTCACAATCGTTCCTATGTATTGTGGCGAAATTGCTGAGGTAAATTTATTGTGCATGCATGTATGTACATACAAGCGACGCAAACATTTCTACGCATAGTTTTCAAGCATTATCGTGTTTTCTTCTGTTTAAAATATGACAATTAATTGGTACGTAATTTAATGTGTATTAATTTTTGTGTCGTTTAATCTCTCTCTTATTTAGTTTATAAAATCATTTTTACTGTGTTTTCCAAAGATATGTTATGCTTCGCAGAATGTATGAACATGATTAGAATAAATTCAGTTACTATTTCGAATCTTTGTTCGTTAAATAGTATTGATTAATTAAACTGTTTATTATATAATAACGAAGTTGTTATATCTCTTTAGATTTCTGTCAGGGGAGCGTTGGGCTCTTTCCTTCAGCTTCTTAACACGATTGGTTTTCTATATTCCTACGCTATTGGGCCGTTCGTCAACTACGTGGTTTTTTGTATTCTCTGTGCCATCTTGCCGGTTATCTTCTTCGTCTGCTTTATGATGATGCCGGAATCTCCGTACTTCCTCCTCAGCCAGGATCGCAGAGATGAGGCAATCGAATCTCTAGCGAAACTCCGAAGCAAATCCAAAGCGGCTGTCGTGGAGGAGACCGACGAAATACAGGTAAGGCAGCAAAGCTGATAATTTTGTCTTATAAAATTCACTGCTCTAAAAGAATCTCAAGGTAAATAATAAAAAAGAATCAAAGGTAAATAATTAATTTAACTCTCAATTAATCTTTTATTAATTTTTTGTTAAGAAATTTAAATTGTTAGAGGTATATTCAATTTTATAAAAAAGTTTGTGCGAAAAATATGCGTTCGATATAAATTATTTTAATAAAAATTGATAATTTCGCGGCCGTTTATGTCTTTGTTGATTTCTCGAGTGACAAGGTAGTTGATAAAAAACTATTTGAACTGTTACGAGCACGTACTTGATTATTGATGTACATATATAAGCGCATGTCCTAGTATATATTATCGAGTCGCATTAGACAAATGCTATAGTCTCAGCTGAGGCCGTTCCTTGATCCTAAATGATAATGTCGCACAGTCGTAAGTGACAATTATGACTGGCGTGCAATGCAGAGTCTCAAAAAACTGCAGAGTGTTCTTTTAGTCGTACGCGATTATAGGTATATTAAACGAGGAAAAGTTGCTATTGCTTCAGCATTAAAACAGTCTTGATATCGGAACGATAAATTTTGTCTTTACATTATCCCAATTATTTCAGAATATTTTAGGCAAACTGTTATGTTTCAATTTTCATATTTATTGTTTTCTTAATAATAATTTCGTCTCGATTTTGATTTCTCAGGTGATACTCGACGAAGCTTTCAAGAATCAAGTCAGAATTTCGGACCTGTTTAGAGTGAAAGCGAATTTCAAGGCGTTGATCTACACATGTATCATGGCTTCCTTCCAGCAGCTTGTAGGCATCAACTTCGTACTGTTCTACATGCAAAATATCTTTATTGCTGCCGGAGGTCTTGTCTCATCGGAGATAGCGGCAATTATCGTCGGAGTCGTACAGGTGGTAGCGTCAATGGTCACTCCCGTGGTTGTCGACAGGTCAGGTAGAAAGATACTCCTCATTCTCTCCGGAATCGGAGTGACAATTAGTTCGGTGAGTAATTGTTCCTATTTTTAGATTTAAATTTAAATTTATGAACGATGAATTTTTGAATAATTACTCTCATGAAAATAAGAAAGATTCGAGTATATCTGATATTTTTTGTGCTTATACCGCAAAGGTTGGGCTTATAAATTGTAAATTTCACTTTTTGGATATCTAAACAATAGGTCTGTATAGATTTGGCATTATTATGAGACCTTAAACTTTTGGAATCCTTCCCTTGTTAGACTTTTATTACGAGCTTGTCGTGTGACCGAGCATTTATTTTGCAGTTTTCCCTGGGCTTGTATTTCTACTTGAAGGAGGTACAGCACGCGGACGACGTGATAGAGCAGATATCCTGGTTGCCGGTAGTTGCGCTTGTCATCTACATTGCCACGTACAGCGTAGGCTGGGGTTCGGTTCCATGGGCAATGATGGGTGAGATGTTTGCCTCGAATGTCAAAGCTAAGGCTTCCAGTATAACGGTTTTCTTCAGCAAATTATTTCTCTTCATCACCACCAAATTCCCCGTCGATCTTGAAGAGGCGTTAAACGGCAAGTACGCAACCTTCTGGATGTTCGGAGGATTCTGCATTCTTAGTATCCTCTTCACGGTATTGCTGTTGCCCGAAACGAAAGGCAAGACTCTGCAGCAAATCCAGGACAAACTCAATGGTGTAACTTCGACTGTAAAGGAAGAGAACGGGACGAAGACGTGAATAGGGAACACTCGCGTTCGATTATCCTGACGAATGGTGTACGCTAAACACCTGATAAATTCGCGAAACACTTTGCAGAGATTAAATATTTATAAAAAAAATACGTGGAGTGTAGTTTTATATCTTTATAATATATCTAGGAATTTGATATTATTTATAGTGGAGAAGAGAGAGAATCAAGTACCAGATATGCGGATAAAAGTTGATATATCCTCCATGTCAATTCGAATTAAAGCAACAAATGGAAATGCTAATTTCGAAGCAAATATATAATACCTAGTGCCTGTTGATTTCACTGCAAATGCTTTAATTGTCGGTGCGTGGGATGTCTTGAATGAATGATCAGAGATATCATCCATCAATATACAATCGTACATACATGCTAACATTTAAAAATAATTTGTTTTACATAATTATAAATATTTATTAATTAAATAAAGAGGGTTAACAAAATATAATTTAAAGACAGTGGACCTATTCTGTAACTTTTAACGACAGTTTCGTTATCGTTATATTGTCGTTGCGCAACGCAAATATAACGATAAAGAAACTGTCGTTAAATTATTTAATTATCTACAAGTAATTCAACTGGACAATAATACTGTTAATTGCAAGCAAACTTATCTTATTTGTTTAAATAACAACAAAACTAATCGTTCTTAAAGATAAATTTTCCTGCACAGATTAAAATGCATTTATAAATAAAAAATAATCTTTTTAAGCTTTGTGTGATTCAATGTCTACAATACAAATATAATTTTATTTGATAGTATTTCAATATATCACAAATACGTATAGAAATAGTTTAGCATATTCCTATATGTATTCTTTAGCGAGGAAAAAGGTGGAAAGGAGATAAATATTATAATTTGCTAGGGAGCACAATATTGAAAGTTTAACAAGTAGGTATATGAGAGCAATTTTGGTAGCGCTATATACGACTTGCAAATTCGGAACTTGTTTTCAATTGCACTTCGCCGTCTGTCGCAACTCTTTCATGAGAAATAAACTTGCTTTTATTGAGAATGATTGAGTTACTTATCTATTATTTTAAAGTTAAAAATTGGCAGAACTCTTCTCTCTCCTCGCAAACATTTTAATTATTAAAATCACAAATTGAATTTAATCCAACATTTTAATGAGATCCTAAGTAAAATTCGGAAATAAATTCTCATCTATGTTTTTGTTTTTTTATAATTCCATCTGCTCCTTTCAGTCAAGGGCATCCCTTTCGATGGGGTAGCTTGCTAGGAACCGTTCTCTGCGGCGCCGCCGCGCGACCTTGATCATTGCACTTTATTTCAAGGTCTAGGTCTCGAGACATCGATCGTTGCATCATAATGCAGCAACGGTGATCGACTTGCAATTGAGATTACACTTTGCGAAAAGTGGCAATACGGATGAATGTGGGACAGTCACGTGGAAATGATTAGAGATCAAGAAAATGACCCCCACTCGCGGCAACGTGGAGATAGGAGCGCTCTTATAAAGATTATGCCTACAGCATTGTACCAGTGAGTGTCTCTCGGTGTTGTGTGATACACTCCCAATCAGAGAATCCGTAGAGTTGCATCCGTACATATGCGACAAAACATCGTTGCGCACCGTCAGCCATCACTATCTCGAAAAGATGACAGAGAAAGGTTCCAAACTCCCTCAGTTCCTGGCTGCTGGGGCGGGTAAGTCCGTTTCTGTCAATAAAGGACTAAGGCTACGATCAACGTGATGCTATACAAATGCTTTGGAGCGTTCTTCTTCTCTTTCTTTCTTCATTGAAAGAAAAGAAAAGAGGAATGCTTCGAAGCATTAAATCCTCGAGGAAAAAAATACTAAAAATTAATTTATTGTCAAAACGCTGTTTTCTTGAACTCGTTTGAGCCTGCTTTCCGAGAATTTCTAATAGCTTGAGAACTGTATCGGAAAATGTTACCTGTGCTGGAAGTTTTGAAAACGCAAATTCAATTATCAGCTATTTGAATCTTTTATTTCTGAAAGAATAAGGTCATTAGATTTATATAAATTCCACTATAACGTGATAATGAGTTAATATTATAAGATAAATCTTATCGTGTTATCTAATTAAACGATAATAGAAATCTCAAATCATTTGCCATATGCATGATTGATCGTATGATTGATGACAGTTATAAAAAATTATATAATATCAACGAAGATTTTTCACAATCGAAAGTGAGGCATCACACGTACGTGCCAAACGACCTTTTTCTACTTACGTTACTTCGTGACGAATTCGCGTTTTACATTACGAAACGATGATTCCGGGGGCGTATCTATCTGGTTCTGTATATTTGCTATATTTGACACCCATTTATTGCCGGTGGGTCTACTCTATAACTCTTAACGACAGTTTCGTTGTCGTTATATTTGCGTTGCGCAGATATTATATATGGTAAAAAAGCTGCGCAACGACAATATATAACACGATAATAAAACTGTCGATTGTTAAGAATAGGGGTGCTGGCGATAGATAATCGCTTTCACTTAGTGTCAGGCGCGATCAATAAAAAAATAATTTACTAAATTTACTAAATTCAGCGCAAATTGGTAACTCAACAACCGCATATTATCGCACGCGCAAAGAGATCATGCAAAAATAGAAATGGTTCCACCGCAAAGAGGATAATTCCAAGCAATGACGACGACCCATAAATGCGAAAGCTCTATTTGTCTCGTATTTTGCGTATCAAAGGGGATCGTCGACGTTGAATGCGCAGGCAAATTAATGATTGTGCACTAGCTCTTCAAAGAGCATTGATGCGTATGTACGTCTTATAAGACATCTAAAAAGTCGTCTTAGAATTCTTAAAGACAAATTCAGAGAAACAACTTCATAAAATAACTTATTTACAAAGTTTTTAAGACGCCCTGATTTATGATGTCTTGAAGACAATTGTCTTAAGGCGACTTCTAGATATGCGTGTTATCTGTGTTGCTCTAGATTATAATTAGTAAAATTCCATATAGCAAATTGTTTGAGAAACAAAGAATGTAATTTGAGCCATATTGATTCTGCCACTTTGAGTTTATCAGTTTTGACACTAGATTAGTATTCAGCGAGCTGAAAAATTTTTAAGTTTGACTAACATAATTAAAAAATATTTCATAGATCCTTAATGATCTAATGTAAGTCGCAACTTTGGCGGACAATTTCTTTTTGACTACAATAGACACAACAAATTAATTTTAAAGGTTGAAAGTCCTAACAACATACTTTTAACTTTGATTGCAATAAAACTTCTTTAACACATCATATATTGTAGTTATAATATGTTAAAATTGAAAATACACTAAAATAGCTCTTTCTTGCAGATGTAACTGCAAATTTTTCAAAATTGTGACGTGATAGAGCAATTTGATGCACGAAATTGTATTTAGCGTTCAAAAAAACTACGGGAAACGATTATTCTCATTCTTATGCATTTTAAATAAGCGCGCGGAGAAGTTATGCTAATATTCCAGCGATTATTTATCGTGGTATTTTCCATTTGTACATCCTGAAATTTTGTACAATCACAGCTGGTTTAGCTGCGATCTCGACTGGTTGCGCTGGAGGGTGGTCAAGTCCGGTCCTACCCAAATTAGAAGGGGATGGTGGACCTTTGGGATCGCCGATTAGCGCCGAGGAGGGTTCCTGGATAGGATCTCTGGCGGCCATCGGTGCTATCTTTGGCAGCTTAGTGGCGGGATACCTCGGAGACAGGTACGGTTATATAAAATAGTCGTACAATTGCACGCACGAATAATTACGTAATACCGTGATTTAACTATGCGTCATAATTTCCTCCTCGAAACCACAGGTTGAAAACTAGAGAAAAAAGTCAACCTTTATATGAAGAGATGAAGCGTGTATTAGATTCAAATACTCGACGAAGACAGTTAAACTGAAAATGATGAAAAACTGACTTTATCTCTATAGATGGGGCCGTAAACGAACATTACTATCTTCTGTGGTGATGTATTTAATTGGATGGGCACTTATCGCCACTGCAGGCCACGTTGCACAGCTTTATGTCGCTCGAATTATACATGGATCAACTATGGCTATGACGTTTGTAATTCTCCCTATGTATTGTGGCGAAATCGCTGAGGTAAAATTTTGCATACGTGTACAAGCGACACAATCATTTACACGCAAAGTTTTCCAGGATTATCATCTTCTTTTCCGTTTCTCGTTTAATATGACGATTAATTGATACTTTATAAATTTTTATATCGTTCCATCTATTTCTTATTTTGTTCATAAAATCTTTTTTGCTGGGAAAATCAAAGAAAAACAGATTTTATGAACAAAACATAAAAATAGATTTATCCTATTTTGCAGAATTTATGATTAGAATAAACAATGTTACTATTTCAAGTCTTTGTTTGTTAGGAAATATTAAAATAATTACATTACTCGTTATATAATAACAAATTTATAGAAAATACGTATATAATTATTGTTATATATTTTCAGACTTCTATCAGGGGAGCGTTGGGCTCTTTTCTTCAACTCTTCATCACGATCGGTATTTTATATGCCTTCGCTATTGGGCCGTTCGTCAGCTACTTGGTCTTTTGGATTGTCTGTGCCATCCCGCCGGCGATCTTCTTCGTCTGCTTCATAATGATGCCGGAGTCTCCGTATTTCTTCCTTAGCCAGGGCCGTAGAGATAAGGCGATTGCATCACTAGTGAAGCTCCGAGGCAAATCCGAAGCGGCTGTCCAGGAGGAGGCCGACGAAATGCAGGTATGTATAAGTTAGCAAAGCATAATTTTCTTTTATAAAATTTTCTGTTCTAAGAGAATCTCGAGATTCTTAAGAGTTAAAAATTAATTCGATTTTTAGTTGACCTCTTATATTAATTCCCAAGTAGCACAGTCAAATGACGTATTAATTCCGTCATAATGCTGTCTTAATGACGTTAGAGACTTTATGACGGAATTAATACGTCATTTGACGTCACTGTGCTATCTGGGTTGTTGAGAAATAATTGTCGGGTAATACAGTATTATGAAAAACTCTGTACGAAAAATACATGTGGTTGGTAATAAATATTCTGTTAAAAATTGCTAATTTCATTGAGGCCGTTTATGGCTTCGTTGATTTCTCGAGTAATAAAATAATTGTTAATGCTATCTGCACTGTTATCGAACACGTACTTGATCATTGCTAAGCGCATGTCGCCGAGTGTATATTGTCAATCACGTTAAACAAACAAGATCGCAATTAAGGCCATTCCTCGATCTTAAATGATAATGTCGCATAATCGTGAGAGACAGTTATGACTGGCATACAATGCAGTCTCGCAGAACTGCCGGGTATTCTTTCAGTCGTACGTGACTGTTAAACGAGGATGTAGCTATTGCTTCAGCATTGAAACAGACGCAAAATATAATATAATTGTAAGAATAATTGATATTAAAAACCACTTTGAGAGAAATTAGAAGCTCCAATTGTACATAAGTGGACAGCGAATTTGCTTCACAAAGTGTTAACTGTAACTTTATCTTTTAATGACAATTTGATCTTCTTATTAACTCTTTTTTTTCAGAATAATCTAAGCAAACAGTTCAAATTTTTATATTTATTGCAATTATATTTATTGCTTAATAAATTCGTCTCGCTTTCAATTTTCCAGGTTACACTTGACGAGGCTTGCAGGAATCAAGCAAGCATCTCGGATCTGTTCAAAGTAAAGGCGAACCTCAAGGCGCTGACCTACGTATGTACCATGGTTTTTTTCCAGCAGTTTACCGGTATCAACGTCGTGCTGCTGTATATGCATAATATCTTTATTGCTGCCGGAGGTCTCGTCCCAATGGAGATAGCGCCGATTATCATTGCAGTCGTGCAGGTGTTAGGGTCACTGGTGACACCTTTTGTTGTCGACAGGTCAGGTAGAAGGATGCTCCTCGTTTTCTCCGGCATCGGAGAGACAGTCAGTTTAGTGAGTAATTGCTTCTATTTTTAAATTTTAGCCCAAATTGATCAACAATAAATTAAAATTATCCTTATAAAAATAAGAAAAAATTAATTTGATTTGAATCTGGGATGTAATTTAATTCAACTATAAGAAGCTCGTCAAATCTTTCTTTGTTGTTGATACTACCTTATTAATAAACATAATTAACAGTAAAAATCAATTATAATAGCATTAAAATTTTGCATTAAACGCACAATACGCGATTGATATTCGAGTGTTTGCAAGAATATACAAGAATATCTTATTCTAAAGAAACAACAAAAATATATGTTAACTCTCCTGGTCGTGCGTTGACGATTAGTATACACATAATTACACTTGCTGCTAGTTGCTGCAAGCAACTATTTAATCATTCTCATGACGAACCATTTCATCACTCGACATAGAAAATCGAATCGCGATTTCAGATTGTCATTCGGAGATCACACGATTCTCTCTGCAGATCAGATAAAGATAAACGCACGACACGGAAAAGTTTTCGTGTTCAGTAAAGTCTGATGTAGGAAAAACAACAGCGAATCACGGGATGTAGTAGTGCGAGATGAGGAAGGTCAAGCATATCATTATAAATACCAATTATTGTTATGCATTCCGATGGAATGCATCGGATGCAATTCAATGCATGAAAATTTCCACGTAATCGTGTGTACGATTACATAATTTACTACAGAAGGCAGACGCCTATAATGAAACACGTATAAAAAAATACGGTAGAAACGAGTTGAGAAAATTGTAATTATTGCATTTTAGGATTTTTTGAAACTCTCGAATCTCTTTTTTCGTTGCCATTATGTAACTTTGGAAGATATCTCGATACTTTGGGAGTTGAATGATTTTAAAAATTGTGAGAAATTTCAGAAAATGTTCATAAAGATGTGTTATCATAGATTAGAATCTCTGTAGCGCAAAACATGTTTGGTAGCACAGAATTTTTTTATTATGCATATAAAATGTTGACTTTTGCTCTTGGATTTTTGTTACATGTTTAACATGATGTAACCATATGGCATTTATTTTGCAGTGTGCCCTGGGCTTGTATTTCTTCCTGCAGGAGGTACAACATGCGGACGACGTGGTAGAGAAGATATCCTGGTTGCCGGTGGTCGCGCTCGTCATCTACATTGCCACGTACAGCGTAGGCTGGGGTGCGGTTACGTGGGCAATGATGGGCGAGATGTTTGCCTCGAACATCAAGGCTAAGGCTTCCAGTATAACGGTTTTATTTCACTGGTTCTTGGCCTTCATCATTTCTAAATTCTTCGTCAATCTTGAAGAGGCGTTCAATGGCAAATACGCCATCTTCTGGATGTTCGGAGGTTTCTGCATCATTAGTATTCTTTTCACGGTATTGCTGTTGCCCGAAACGAAAGGCAAGACTCTTCAGCAAATCCAGGACGAACTCGGTGGAGTGACTTCGACTATAAACGTCGAGAACGGAACGAAGAAGTGAGGAAGAAACGCTCGCATTCGATTATCCTGACGAATGGTGTATGCTAAACATATATCTGATAAATTCGCGAAACACTTTGAAAAGATTAGATATTTATAAAAGATACGTAGGATAAAGTTTTTATGACATATCTAGAAATTTTATATATCATTTAGAGAAGAATTAAGTAGAGTACCTGAAATGCGCACAATATATGTGCTTATATTTTACTGCTAAAGGGCCTAAGCATGTGAAATCGGCCCTTGATCATACAGAGCTGACATTAATGTCACAAGTTAGTACCAATATGATAAAACTTTCCACCAAATATTATTTTAAAAAATTCATTTTTTTAGAAGTTATGCAGGGAGAAAGTAAAATAAAGAAATGTATTTTTCTCGAAAACCACTTGACCGATCTTGATGAAAAAAATATATGTTATGTAGACTAATAAAACTAATTAACAAAAAAAATGTCCAAAATGTTTGCCAAAAAAAGACCAAAGAAAAAAAAATATTTGAATTTTTTAATTTTTTTTTTAGGGTGATATTTTTGAGGTACCCCTTTGAAATTTTTACGAAAATTTCTCTTAAAGTGTCCACTATAACATATATTTTTTTCAATTTTTTTTAAATGGTGGAACATAGTTAAAAATACGAAAATCGTAAGCGTCGCGTCACTCCGGCGCACAGTGCAGTGCCATTCCGCGTTGCGGGTGTTCGATGTAACTTTAATAGCACATATGTACGTCTGCAATTAGCCCATAATATGTATACTTTTTAATTTTTATAGTTTCCAGAGTTTACCACCTGGAGGTTGCAGTACGGTTTTAAACTCTTTATCGGAGTGCTTTTTTAACGTGAGTCCCCTCGCCTCTCACTATATTTTCGTAAAATCGGGGTGCTTTTTTAACGTGAGTCCCCTCGCCTTTCACTACGTTTCCGTAAAATCAGGGTGCTTTTTTAACGTGAGTCCCCTCGCCTTTCACTACGTTTCCGTAAAATCAGGGGGATTTTTAACGTGAGTCTCTTTGCCTCTTACTACGTTTCCGTAAAATTGGGGTGCTTTTTTAACGTAAATCCCCTCGCCTTTCACTACGTTTCCGTAAAATCAGGGTGCTTTTTGAATGTAAGACCCCTCGCTTCTCATTACACCCTACACCTACGATTTATTTAATTTTCTTCACTATCACTGTCTATTACTGGAATGTTATTTGTTTTCTTAAACAGATCGCTAATGGGCTACGAACAATTGGAGACCGACCGTGACTTTTTTACGCGACGCGACGGGTTGCGAGTATACGAGATGTTGTGATCTCGATAACGAGTGTTGTATAACGTAAGTCATACTATGCATATTGATAAAAACGCTCGTGCTAATATGATACTTTGGTACATATCATTTATAAGCTTTGTTTTCCAAGCGTAGAGAAATTTATGATGTGCCTGTAAAAACGTTCTTTTCAAGCAAGTTTCTATCTGGTCGGTAATTAGGAAACGCAGTGGAACAATAATACAATTCTTCTACTTACATTTTATCATGATTTTTCTAGTATTACGTATGCTGGACGTAAGCATAAAGCATAATTAATAAAAGAGATTAATTTCGTGGCGTACTTCTCGTTCACGGATGAGAGACTAGTCATTGTATTAATTAGTTTATTCACTTAAAGTTTCTAAGTTTATTATAATGCTGATATTGTAATATCTTTAATATTATTTTAATAAGTAATACTATTTTTAAGCGAGCGATGCATTTTTTTATCTTAATAACTTAAGGAGAAATGTTACAAATTATTAATATTGTCTCTCTCAATAGGTGTACTATAAAACATTTTAATATTTTATAAAAAATCTATTTTTTCTAATATTGATTTCAAAATCTAATGTGCCAAACAAAATTATAATAAGAAATCATAATTATATTAAAGAGTGATTCTTCTAACAAATAAGCGCTGGCTGCACATGATGATGAATGAATGAGACTTTTATAAATAATTTATAATGTACATATATGTATAAAATACATATATGTACATTATAAACATATGTACATGTATGTTAAAATAATTTTTTATAAAGTTTATATAAAAAACACTACTATATTAATGAAAATAATGAATAACCATGTCTTTTGTCTTTCGCATTGAAACGTTCTGATTTATATAGTAATTTCGAAAACAGACTTTATTCAAGACAGTAATCTATTCTATATCTGTTACATATTGACTGTTTTTGATCATTTTGTATGTAATATATTATGTTATGTATCTATACACAATATGTTTGTACATATAATTGTGACAATAATAAATAAATTATAAGTATATTTAAAAATAATGTATATATTTGTTGCATTTTTATGACAAAAATGATGAAACATTGTCTCTCATTCCATTTTCCCAAACTCTCTTTCTCAATCTCATTGTAATAGTAATAGTATAATAAATAGTGTAATGTTACCTATATATAAAGCTAAATAGCGCGCGCGAAGCGACGTCTAGTATAAATAAATATGACGTAAATATATATTATACATATAATTGATGAATTCGATCGAACTTTTATGGATTTTTAAACTCTGATTCATCTTTGCTGTGCCATCGTTTCTTTAACACAGTTTATGTCAATGCAACAGTATTTAATTTGTCCGAAAGCTTCATCAAAATCAAGTATAACTTTTCATAAATATCAGTGCGATATGTACCGCAATTTAATAATCAGATCTTGTAGTTTATATTATTCAACCGTTCTAGAACTATTGGCACGTATGTATGACATTAAATGTACGTCGTTTTATATGTTCGTATGCAAGATTACATTTCCTTTCTATATGGCTTATTGCGGTACTTGATAAACATTTTCATTAACAAATTATAGGGCATCTCGACCATCACAGATAATGCATAAGAGCAAAGATAACTGATAATAATGTATCCCACAGCCATAACAAACTGGAACCAAAAGTTAAAAAAAGTTAATGCATTTTTTCCCGTATTTCTCTATTAATGCTGTATTTTCAAATATTTGTATACTTACACGGGGCAGAAATTCAAAATGAATCGACGTTTCACTGTATAAATGAATCGATTGTATGATGACAGGATTTATAAGGTAAGCGCAGTATGTGAGCCTGCTAAGAGGAATCCAGCCTTTGAAAGAGAGTAACCGATTAACGATGCCTATAACAAAGCAAATATACAATGATAAAAATGATCTTTTTAAACTACGACAATATTTCAAATATATCACTATATAATATATTAAGAATATGCCGATTTTTATAAAGTGTATTTATGTGTTAATAAATAAACGAACCTTCGTGTTTAGTGGAACATGCTATTATAATACATGCAATACATATGGCCCAAAGTGTTCTGTTCAGTGCTACATAAATAGAAGTAGCTAGAACGGATATGTGTCGATTGTACGACAAAAATAATACGAATACTTTGCAAAGAATAGCCAGGCACCAACACAAAATTATATGTTTCTGAAATGTATATCAAATTAATGTAACAATTTTCATTTATGCGGTACTATATAATTTATTTATATGGAACTAGTAACTAGTTAGTTTATATAGAATATAAGTTTATATATATTCCATAAGTTTTTCAATAATTATTTATTTTTAATATGCTGTATAAAACAAAAAATATACTTTACCTCTTTTAAGACAAGATTATTCTTTAATTTTATCAAAATGTAACCCGTAATTATCCCAATGATATATGGATTCATTCTCATCCATGGTGAGATATAGAAGATATTTGCAAGATGTCTCTCTTCATCAGATCTGTAACAATAAGAAATGAGACAATAAGAAATCTTTTTAACTTGATTTCTCAATAAGTAAAATACTTTAATAACTTACGTCGCGACATATTCGTAAACGTGTGAAATATAACCGTTAAGGATAACTGAGCCTATTAAAAGTGCACTCAATATCGTAACAGCGGCATAAAAGTATCTAAAATTCATAATATATTTATTCAAGTATACGCGAAGAAGACATTAAGATAACTATAATAGTTGGTTAACATACATAGTGGACAAAATTAACAGTGCCGTAGCGATTACATAGAATTGCATATCATTAGCTAGATACCAACTCCAATTCATGCACTGTAATGCAATAAAAATTTTAGAAAAGTTTTATGCATCTCCAAGTATAATTTTAAATTAATCTTAATCAAACGTGTTTGTATACCATTGCATCCACTTCAAACAAATTATTTATGTATAGAATATTTCTCCACCAATATTTCGCACAAGTTTCGTGCGACTTTTCGTAAATGTAAAATTGCGATGTTTTATCGAACCAGGCCCAGCTTAATTGCGTTATCGCTAACACCATCATGTAAGCCGGTGTCAGCCTTAAAAAGAAAAATTTTATTACAGCCGCGTGTAAAAAAGGAAAGTTATTATTTAGTTTACATTAAAATCAATATTCAAATTTCTTTGTAACATATTCTTTTATTTTGTTTATTACTGCAAAAATTTTATTTTGTTGTTTGTATTGTTTTCTGTGTTTTTCACAAACATATCACCATATAATAAAAACTTACCGAATAAATCTTTTTATTACATAAATAAAGAATTCAATTAATTTTTCTCCGTAATCAATCGGCTTTAATATTTCGTACGTTTTATCTCGCATTAAATACATATAAGTCATTAAACATCCGCTTGAAAGGAAAAATATATCAACTGCTAGGAATCCAATGTCACTTAAGTATTTATAACTTTCAGTGAATCTCAACAACCATACTTTATTGTCTGTGAACATAAAGCAATTTTGGTTATGCGTATTAAACTATAAGAAAACAAAGCCAAAAATATCCATTTTACAGATTTATTATAAATTACTTACCGAGAGAATTCAATGAAAAATATGTATTATGTAAGATGATTATCGAACACATGCTTAGAAATTTTAAGCCGTGAATAACGGGTATTGTGCCGGTATCTAACTTTGTGCTAAATATCTTTCCCGTATTTGTGTAAACGGAGAAACATATTAATATTTCTCCAATTTTACTTTTCCGATATGAAAACAAATTCACTTCCTTAGACACCTTTACCGTACCTAAATCATAATTCGACGTCTTTAGTAGTAATACAAAAATCAAAATGCTTTAATTAAGTAAGATTAATATTAAACAAGAGAAATCTATACGAATAAGCTATATGTACACAAAATGTTGCTACAAAATATATTTTATAATTAATTATTAATTACTTAAAATAATAGCTGATTGCAAATTGTTAATAATTTTAACACTAAAGACAAAGACTTGATTTGTAGAAAATTGTAGCATATAAAAACGGTAAATAGTCTGTTGTAATAGAAATTATTTCTATAAGTTTTAGATATGACACTTACCATTACCAGTTTTATTCGTCTCATTTTTCTGTAGATGTTTTTGGTACACAAATACATCATATATCGTTCCGATTGCTGTCATGAGAAAGGAAAACCCTAAGCCAACACTGCAAATCGAATATTTCTTGATTAATTCTTCATATTCTTTCGGAGGATTAAGATTAAAAAATTACTTATAATATTATTAATCTTTTCTGTTATAACATATTATTGTTGTGTTTGTATTGTCAAGTAATTACAATTTATACATTTCTTGAGACGTACCAAATAAAACGTAACGCACTACTGGGTAGTTTTTTATTATCGTCATTTAGATCTTTAACCTGGATTAGCTGAAAATCAGCGGAGTAGAGATCATCGAAGATAACTCTGTCACGAAATATTCTTTCCAAAATGAAGCTCAAATTATTTATAGTGCACGATGCTGGTAAACAGAGTCCGAGCGTAATCACATTCTAAAATATAACTTTCTGTATATATTTAAATGTCGAACGCATCCTTCATCACATAAAGATTTTATAAACTTACCTCGTCAAATAAATTTATGTGATATTGAATAGGACTGTTGTGTTTAAAATAAACTACAAAATAATTCATTTGGAAAGGTGGAAATTCCTTTCGCGGATCGCGATAATGCGTGTTATTTAATACTTTCTGCTGTGAGATCTGCAGAGGAACTGTATTCATTGTATCAAGACACTGACTACGACTGCCCAGCCAATAATTATTTCCGTAAAGGAAACCCGGTTTAAAGCTACCACTGGAATCTAATACTAAAAATAAAAATTACAATGTTACTACTTGTGCAAAAACAATAAATGACTAATTTTTACTTATTATTAATTAATCACGCATTGTTGCTTCCTCGTACAGAAAGCTGTTTTACTAAACAAAGTCTTTTTTCAGTTTTCTATGCCAACGTGTTCAGAATGTTCTAAAACTATCCACACAGCAAAATATATCTGAGATATAGCTAGATATCTTTATGCCTACAATTTTATGTGTCTGTGTGAGAGGTGCATGTTTTTGACAATATTTTGTGACAAACTGAATAAATTTGCAAAAGTGAAATTTTGAAATATATTTATATAACATATAGAGTACAAAAGTATATTTTTTATTAACAAATATTTATATTTTTATTAGTTTAGGATGGTGCGTGCAGAGATTTAGTGTCTTTTAATTGCAGCCCGATTTATTAAGTCCGCTATTACAATTTAAGTCTTTGCCCGAAGTCCCTGTTAAAGTCTATTGCTCACACGTCCGCGCGTTATTTATTACACTAATATTTTCATGAATATTATTATTAATTTAAGATTAAAAAATATTAGTTAATATATTTAATTTAAATAGAATTGCATAATTAATCAATTAAAATATGCAATATAAGCTAAAGATGAATAGTTGTTTTTTTAGCAGCTTTCTAGATTTTAAATTGGAGTAAATAGAGTTAATAGCAAATCAGTTATAATTTTACGTACCTTTCAAGCTCCACAGTGTTCGTTGACTAAGAGCATCTCGAAATGTTTTCAGCTCCTTTCCGCATGTTGAGTTGAGAATATCTGCCTTGGAAGCAACGGCATAAGCAGGCAATATACGACCATGAAATTCTTGAGTACAACCACCGAATAATACAGCTGAATTCGTCAAGAGAATAAACACAAGCCGTTGCATTGTGTTTTACAATAGTGTTTAGCCTGGTAGCTGTCACTGTTATATCTTATTTCTCGTTACCGTGATAAATATCTGCATCAATGGTAAATAT